TAGGCTTCCTAGAGATAGACTGGCTAGAACAACTCTACCGTTGGTAGTGGATGTCCCAGCGCCTGCTGCATGGTCTCTGTGGCTTCTTATACTTCTCCTGCATGAAGAGTTGATGTGCTACAGCTGCTGCCAATTAGTGTCCTGAGTGGAGGAAGGAAGAAGGCAGGACAGAACTCCTACATCCGTTCAGGAAATCCATTCCATAGTTTGAAGCCAACGTGCAACACAACCACAGACATGCATCATGGATCGGAAATATCGGCAGGTTGGATTGGAAAAGCCGATACATAAATTATGCTGGTATCGGAGCCCAATACCGATACTGGATCAGATCGTCCCCATCCCTAATTTTAACCCAGGTGTCATCAACATACCTGAACCAATGACTTGGTGGTGTCCCTGAAAAGGATGTCAAGGTTCTCTTTTCTACCTCCTCCATGTACAGGTTGGCCACAATAGGAGAAACTGGAGACCCCATAGCACACCCACATTTCTGCCTATAATATTGGCCCCCATATGTGAAGTAGGTTGACTGCAGGCAGTTTCAAGAGTTGACACAGTTGCTCTGTGGAAAGTGTGGTACTGCTGCTTAGAGTGGTGTCTGATTTTAATCTTAAACTGACCACCTCTACTGCATCAACAGGAATACATGTAAAGAGTGATGTGACATCAAAAGAGACCATTGTTTCATCAGTCTCCATGATGACATCCCTCACCTTATCCACAAAGTCCATGGTGTTCTGTATGTGGTGTTCTGAGCTGCCAACTAAAGGGATGAGTACAGACGCCAGATATCTGGAAACATTGTAAGTGGCAGAGTTAATCATGCTAACAACTGGTCTTAAAGGTACACCTTGTTTCTGAATTTTAGGTAAACCATACAGACGAGGTGCGGCCTCCCCTGGGTACAGTCTGTGGTACAGAATACAGTCAATAGCCTTGTCCTGCTCCAAAATTTTCTGGCAATCTATCAATGTCTTCTTGTAGCCACTTCCTGGATCTCTTTTCTGTGGCTCATAAGTGGTTAAGTCACTAAGGAGTGTCATAACTTTCTCATGATAGTCTTTCTGGTTCAAAATCACTGTGCACCTTCCTTTGTCTGCTGGGAGAATGATGATGTTTTTGTCCTTGCTAAGAGTGGTGAGTGCATCCCTCTCCTCTCTACTGATATTGGAAGGTGGTGGTTTGACATTGCTGAGGCAGGCTGAAACTTTGATTCTGAGCTGTTCTGCCTCACACTCTTAATTTTGTTGTTACGAATGGCTGACTTAGTGGCTGTGATCATCTCCACCAAAGTAATTCTTCTTGGTGCAACTGTAAAGTTCAGTCCCCTGTCAAGAATCTTTGTCTCCGGCTTGGTGAGCTGTCTGTCAGATAAATTCTTCACCCACGTTTCTGTTACCCTGGCATGTAACTGTCTACCGGAGTGTTGTCTTCCACTGAATGTGTTGTTATTGGAATTGTGATGGTGTTGGCGAGTTATCAGTAAGTTAAACGTGTTTTGTTGTCGAGTTTTGGACTTGACACGCTGTGCTAAACATGCCTGATCTGTACAGTCCATCACTTGCTGAACTGTGGTCTGATCTAAGCACGTTGTTAGTTGTTGTTTAATGTGCTCTTCTTTGACCTTCAAGGTCTCAATAGTAAAATTGGTCTGTCTCACCCGTTGTCTTGGAAACTGAGACATTTATTTTCTAAACATAATGTCCCAGTGGCTTTTAAACCCCAAAACACATTACGACAAAGATTGGTTCATCCAGTCCCCTGGCAAAAACAGAGTAATACTGTGTATGCTGTTCCATGTCAGGAGGGCTGTGATCAGTCTTACATCGGGGAAACTAAACAGCCACTGGCCAAAAGGATGGCCCAGCACATAAGATCAACATCATCAGGCCAGGACTCTGCGGTCTACACTCATCTCCAGACCAGCGGTCACTCTTTCAGGGATGAAGATGTTCACATCCTTGATAAAAGAGGAACGATGGTTTGAGAGAGGAGTAAAGGAGGCCATCTTTGTGAAAAGAAACCGTCCATCATTAAACAGGGGTGGAGGCCTCCGTGTTCAACTGTCCCCCTTTTACAATGCTGTGATTGCTAGTATCACTCAGCCCCCTGTGAATAGCAAACAGCCATCAGTGTGCTAATGATCCATCATTACACGGTTAATGTTCGGCTGATGGTCCTCCTTGATTATGTGAGCAGCTGGTTTGGCTGTCAGTAGCAAACTGGTTGATCCACTGCAAGAGGGTGCTATTTATAAGACTGAGCTGAATACAGCACCTCAGACTGAGGAAGTCTTTCGGATGAAAGATGAAACTTTTCTTCATTTTTTTTTCTTGAATGTCCAGAGGACCAGATTTAACTTTTTTAGATTTTTCTACCTGGATTATTGAGCATGCATCAGGAGATCTCAGTGGAAACTTTTCTGCTGATGGACTGGTTAATGAGGCACTACACTCCAAAGAATCAGGGATCCTAACGTACAGATATCAGCTTCTACTTGTGTATTTAGAAAGGTATTTTTAATTATTTATTCTTGTGGAGGGGGTGTCTTATAGGGATACAGGGTGTAGGGGTGTCACTGTTCATAATCTCTCCCTCCTCAGAAGGTGCCCTGACTTTTATCCAGAAATGGTCTGAAGGGGGTAAAGATAATGGATGGATGGATGGATGGATGGACAACAGCTTAGTCTGGCTTACGCTAACATTATGCCTCTTTTCCATTAGTACCATTAGTACTGGTACAACACGGTTCAACTCGGCTTGGTACGGTATGAGTTGTGTTTCCATTATACTTTCAGTAACAGTTCTAGTGGGAGAGTTCAGACCGAGCCCGCAAGAGCGCATGCCAGGGCACACGAAGCCGGGACCCGGACCCCGGCTTTGTGTGCTCCTGCGGGTTGGCAGCTCGTATGATCCTCCACGGTGACCAGCAGAGTTTGGAGCCCGTAGGAGCACGCAAGGCTGGAACCAGCAGCACAGAGGATCCTCTGTGGTGACCGGCGGAGCTTGAAGCCAGGGAGATGATGCCCTGCCCAGCCTGAGGGGGCTCCGAGGCTCCAGTGGAGAGGTGCACGGGGACCAGTGGAGCTCCATCTATCTCGCTCTGAATTTTGTCATCGGCCACCAAGCACAAAAAATGCCTGAACTTCAGCATGACACCACGATGTTGTCATTATTGTTTTTAAAATCTTAAAAATAGGTCCTGTCACGTTCGAGTTATTGCAAATGGCAGATTGGGTTGTTGTGAAAGTTTCTCAAACATCCAGTGACACCACCCGCTGACCAATCTGTGACTGACAGTGTTCTGACATCACGTTCCAGGGCCAGTTTGGCACGGTTGGAACCCCAGAGAAGGGGGTACTGAAAAAGGGACCAGTTCCATAAACAGTTGCTAGTGGAAAAGACTTGGAACCGTGCTGAGTCAAGTCGAACCGTGCTGTACCATTACTAATGGAAAAGAGATATTAGTTAGTTAAACTGTCATTTAGTTAGAAAGGTCAGCGTTCACCATCAGACTCAACACTCAAGTCTAAATGGGAGATTCAGCTAACAGTAAAACTGACGGGGGGAGGGGGGGTCATGTAACTGGCGTTTTAAGTTGGTATGGTTCATTTTAGGCGGTTTCTGAAATATCACATTCATCCAGGTTTAGATATTAAAAATAAAGTTTATAATGTATGAACAAAAAAGGTTGAATCGTGTCATCTGGACTTCGTTTTTTGTTAAA